GAAACGTTTGTCGGGAGATCTTTGAGCAACAAGGAGGAGCTGACCTCGATATTCAACAAAGCGCTTTCGACGTACGTAGTCATGTGTGAATTTGAATGAAAAGCTTTTGTATGGCTTTTTTGGTATCCTAAAATGTTGTATTTTTGGTATCATTGTGCACAGGCCCTTCAGTTAGCGGGCGAGGCCGTTGTGGTTGGATTCATTAAAGATGCGTATATGCTTGCCCAGCATTGTCGCGACCGCACTGAACAGCAGCCGGAGGGTGGGGACAGTGGTGAAGCTAATGAATGATTGTGAGGAAATTTAAACATCTGCTAATGATATGCATATGTATATACGATGTGTATTTTTGTTTCGAAGTAAAAGAATTGATTTGCTATCGCTTTGTGATTTGGAAACGTGTGGTTTCGAGTATTTATGTGGGAGGCAACCCTCACCCTCGGGGCAAAATTTTAACTCTGTCCATTGAACGGGGCGGTAATGTTAAGTGACAAACTCTTTTTGTTCCAATTGTGAGGGCCCCGACGCATAACCCGATTCCGCAAAGATTCAAATCCACATACCAGTCAGACATGAACTTTCTTTAAAACATCATTTTCAAAATGAATCGAACATCTTGATTGTCAATAATAACTTTTGCGACCTTGTCACCATAGCTCGTCATCATCACTCTATAACCTGAGCATACAAGTCGTTAATTAAACAAGCCAGACCAAGCCAAATGGAATGAAAACTCACTCCGAAAAGTCAATAATACGATTCTCCTGCATCACGTTACAGTACATCCTATCTAGCTCCCTGGTTTACTAGAGAAGCACCAATTCCAGAAATGTTTACGCCGCTTGTAATGACAGTCCCATTTGCCCTTTGTTAACACCATTCATGACACAGGCACGGAGAATCTTTGTCGCTCAAATGACGATTTTCAACCAGGTATTTTGAATAATTCGTCCTGAAAGTATAGCAACGTCACGGCATTTGAGGTGTAGTAACCACATAACCCATCGTGAAAACCCTGCTGATAACACGGCATGGTGTCAATCGTTGTAACATGCAACGGTAGTAAGTTGCCGAATCTCCTAATGCGCGTACCACCAACTTCAAGTTCCCCGATGAGGTTTTACTTTCCTTTCCAGGCAATCTTGGACTTGACTACAGTAGTAACACGGTCATACTTTCAGAAAAGATGTGCGTTGGCAGTATAATGAGGATGGAGGGGGTTTAATGTACACTACAAGGTTGTTATCTGGGAGTTTTGTTCTTGCGCCTGTAACCCTGGATATTAGATAACGATCATTCCATTTGATAAACAGGTTCTGTGAATTGAATCCCAAGTGACGATCTTGGTTTTTTCTGATCGGTATGACAATTCCAGTACTGTCCCAAATACGTTCAACAGAGGACACCGCAAATTACTGTATCAAGTAATGAAGTACAGTGGCAGTAACGAAAACAACGGCTCAGTGGTTTAGTGGTATAATACCCGCTTAGGGTGCGGGTGGTCCCGGGTTCGATTCCCGGCTGAGCCCCTATGCACTCGATATGCTTTATTTTTTTTCTCCAACACTATACCTGAATTTTTTTTTTGTACATTCCCATCATCTTGTCAATATCAAACATTTGTTTTTTGACGTTGGTACTGGTTGTGAATGTGGTTTTCTTTCGTTTTTTTTTACGAGACGAGGGTTTTATTTTTTTGGTGGGTTGTTTTTTGGATGTGGAGGTTTTTTGGGGTGCGGGTATCAGGGTCGATTGGCGGGTAGTGGTAGCATGCGTTGGTTTTTAAAAGGGGGGTGTATGTCAAAACTGATATACATTTTAAGAATAACATGGAACCTTTTGGGGTTCACGGGTGCTTTTTTTATGATGCAAAAGTGGGCCAGAGGGCATTGCAGTTGTTACAGATATCTAAATAGAACTATTCTGGCGATACAGATTATTCTTTCCTTTTTTGACTCGCATTTTGAATTGTTCGAGGTGTTGCGCTGGGGCTGCCTTCCATCGCTGAATCGCTGTCATTTTCTGATGGCCGTTTTGGGAGGCATTGCCGCGACGTTTGCGGTAGGCACTGCAAAAGTATGCAACTCTAGAGAGGGATTGAGTGCTGGTATTGGGTCGAGAGAGAGTGGCTTTTGGAAAGCGCTCCTGCCTTTTCCGGGAGAGATATTCAAACCTCGACGTAGTTCTTTCGCGTTGGGCGATGGGTCTTGGGGGTTGGGAGAAAGCAAGCTGATATTACTAGGGTGACAAGTCCCCCCTCCCCTCGTTAGTGGATATATCGTCTCGAGCCTACTGCCCAGGATAGGGTTTTACCCACCCTGCGGGGCAGGCGGGTGTAAATTGTTGAGCAATATGTGCTGTGCGCAAAAGTTTGTGCGTGCGCAGAGTTTTTATCGATAATGACATCTGCGAGAGTGCATGGTCACTAAATCTCAAGTCCAAGGGGGGCTCGCAATTGGAAGAATTCGGATTTGTACCAACACTAGAGCGAAATTAAACGGCTTTACAAGGTTTTTGCTGAGTGTTAGGGAGCTCCCCTGTCCTTTAACTATCATGAGTAGCAAACGATTCGTAAATTGATAGAGCGGTTTTTTTGCGTTGGGCGATGGGTCTGGGGGGTGGGGGGAAAACAAACTGATTGTTGCTCGGGTGACAAGTCCCACCTAGGTGTACGTATCGCTCTGGTACGGTCTCGGGTGGGTTAAACCCAACCCTGTATAGCCATCATCGCCCACTAGTGGGCGGCATCGGCATCTGAAGATAGGTAGTAGAGGCGGAGAGGAAGTAGGAAAAGATGACATGTACAATCGTGGCCAACCTAGTTTTAAGTTGTTTTAAAAAAAAAAGGATATCAAGCAATAGTAAATAAATGTTGGTAAAAACTCGTTTACCTTTTTGACTCGCTTTTTGGTTGTCCGAGGTGCACGGGTTGAATCGCTTGTCATTTTTCTGATGGTGATCGGCTCTAGCTTTTATTACTTGTAAAGAGGGAAGGGTCGATCAACAGGCGGAGGATCTCTGATGTTAGTGTGTGGTAGTGTGTGGAAGAATTCGGATTGTCCAATGGCCACAAGGTTTGCGGAAAGAGGCGAGAAGATCCAGTCTTTTCAACATGTCACGATTCAACGCATCAATAAGCTTGACGTACAGCGCGTTGGGCGACGGGTCGTTCCCCTTCTTGTTGACGGGCATGACACGAGAGAGAGACCGAGTAGGGTGGGGAAAGCAAGTTGATGTTGGTCGGGTGTTTCCCCGCTTTGGTGTAAGTAGTGCCCTGGGTCTACGTGCCCAGAGTGGGGTTAGGGGGGGTTTTTTTTAAAATAGACGAAATGTGTTGCTTAAGGTTATTTGCGTCGTGTTATACAATTTGATGGGATGGTTAAACTATAAATTTATAAATAGTTGCGGTTGTTTTTTCTGTCTGTTGCAAAGATATGGAAAACACTGGTAAAATAGAAGGATGAAAAACCACATGGACAAATTATACATTTTGTTTTTATATTTTAATAATTAATGGTGGAAATCTAGGTATTTCATTTCGACGTCTAATCATTCAGTTTACGCTTTTGAATGAATGATATGGATTTTTATAATGTGTAAACCTCGATCCAAGGGAAAAAAAGTCTTGACCCATTATTTTTCAAAAGATTTGGTTTTATTTTGATATTAACTGGGTTTTTTATATAAACCAATAAAGAGCGGCAAGTTCAATATAAGAACCACAAAAAAACCAAAACCAGCAAAAACGAACAAAAAAAACACACACACACAAATAGGCTCGTCTGTCCATTTTGGCCCCTCTTTTATGGCATTCAACCTTTACAAAACGAGTGTATGTCAATACCATATAACAGTCCCTCCATGACTGACATTCCCTTCTCCAAGTTGACTATGACAAAAGTTTTCATGGATAACAAGGATCTATGACCACTCTCGACAAGTTCTTATTCGACTTGTAAGTTACGAAATTGGATGACGAGAAAGAGTTTGACTCATCGGACTGGGTTCCAAAGATGGTCCTTACGGGCTGTAAACGCACACAAGTTTCCGCACGTCAGATCTATACTACCGAGGAAATGTTTTATTTGAATTGGTTACTGCCCAATTGATTCGTTTAAAAGGGATATATTCACAAGATTAGTTTTCGAATTTTTGGGAAATGGTTCCTCCAAGTGCGAAAATACAATGACGTATCCAACAAAAATGGGGGATACAAACATAATCATTAACAAAAAGTTTCTGGTACCCATATTAGGATTCTGGATTTCAAAAAAAAAAGGTACAAGGGACTTAGAGTGGATGTTGCTGCGGTGCTAGGAACTTGGGAATCCGATGTTGATTCGCGGAACGAGTGGATGCGGGTGTGTTGTCGGGATGGGGATGTTGAGGTTTGGTTAAATTTGCAAAGGTGTAGTGTTTGGGGTGTGTGTGTATCGTTTTATCGAGGGTGGAGAGTTGAGAGCGCGGTGGTTTTTGTTGATTTGGAATGGTGGAAAAGTGGTGTGCCATGTTGTACAGTTGATTCCCTTATGAGTTATCATGTCCAGGTGTACTGTACACTGCATAATGGAAAAAACATATTGCATTCATGCGCCTTGGAATGCATCGCAGTCGAGAGCGAGTTGCAAAACGTGTAATACGTATATTAAAAAAAAAGTAAAACAAAAAAAGCATAATGCAAAACCTCAACTAACATCCCCATAAATACATTCAAGAACCGAAAGAGGGGGAACCAGCCTCCAAGTTTCTATTCTTTAGCAAACCAAACCACAACAGACATGCCCAACACCGCCGAAACAATCGTACCAATCAGTGCGATAATGCCTTTTGTCTCAAATTTGCCAGAAAGGTTATGCGGTCCATCAGGGGCACCCGTTAAATCCAACCCCTGTTTACCAGCAGCGTTTCCAGAGATGGGTTTCCCCAAAGCAGCACACTGAGATCCAACATACGATGGTGGGGTGATTGTTTTCTGCATTTCAAGGGGAGCTTCAATGAGTGTTGCGACGAGACCGACTTCCATGTGCCATTGAATGTGGCAGTGGAAGAGCCAGACGCCGGGGTTATCGGATCGGAAGCGGATAACGGCTGAACCGAATGCGGGGATTTGGACCGTGTCGCGTCGGATGGGGTTGGGTTGGTCTGGGATGGGTTGGGTGGGGTCGTAGCGTTGCTCGCTTCTATAAACGATTTGGAAGCGGTGTCCGTGGAGGTGGACTGAACGGTAAAATTGAGTCACGAGTTCCACATGCAAGAACAAAACAAGTAGTGACAACTTACAGGGGTGAGACCCGCCATCATCGTTATTCACCACCAACTGAATCATCTTGTTGTGCTCCAATACAATGGCATTGGTTTGCTTGCCGTAAATAGCGGGGTTCGTAGCGTCCTGTCCCGTCGTCAGAGCGGAAAGCATGGTCGGTGTAAGGGGTGCGACATAGGTATTGTTGTTGAACTGGCCGTGGTTGATACCGTCGTCGAGGACACCGAGGAACACGTTTAGATCGTGGGACACGTCGGGGGCGACAGAGGCCTCTTTGACGAGGGGGGCAATGGTCAAGTCGTCGAGGACCTCGGTGGAGGGTGGTGGAGCGTCGGATGTGGGGGCGGTGGGAGAGTACTCGATGAGAGCCGTCAAGTCTAGAAAATGTGGGTTTTAGTATTTGTTGGTTGCGAGTACCACACATGGTATTTACTCACTCAGATTCAGTGTAGGAGGAATCAGAGCAAACATGCTATCATCCATCTTGATGGCCACATTATAATTCATATCGGTCGCGTTTTTCGCCTTGACCAACACCGAGTACCTCTGCGCAACGCCAATCTCAATGTTTGACGCCGTCTTGGGTTCCGTGTCTACGCCATCGACTTCAATCACCTCCATCTCATGCCCGCCAATGCCCATGGTAAACATTGGGAAACCCGCCATGTTGATGACGCGGATGCGGTATGTTTTGTTGGGGATAAACGTCATTTTGGGGACATAGTCGGTTCCGTTCATGATGTGGACGATGCCAGAGTTGGGTGGGGGTTCGACGCCGCGGACGTTGAAGATGCCTCCATAGTCTTTCATGACCGTGTCATATTCATCGTGGTACCAGTCTGGCAAATGCACAGGTGAGTTGGGTTAGCTGAGAGTGCAAGCGAGATGTGTACGTGTGATGTATGCCCAACCAGAAATCTCATCGCACCGACATGCATGAATTTCCATGCATTCCCAGCCGAACACCAACCAGTGATATCCAAACGCCTGCAAGACAAACAATATCCCTGTCCCAACGAGTAAGGCGGCGCACGCCCACACTGCGATTTCCCTTGCGCGATTCTCCCAACCATCATCCAACTCTTCACGAAATTCCCTGGGCGATTCTCCCAACCATGATCTCACTCTCTCCCCCGTCATGACCACACACACGCCTACCCACCATGAAGGATAAGAGTGTATTCGTGATCGTATTTGGCGAGTTGGGCGGTTGGCGGAGGGTTGATAATGAGCGCACCGCGGAAACCATCGAGGTACTGTCCTCGAACGTGAGCATGGTACCAATAGGTTCCCCACTGTTGCAGAGGGATTTCGTAGGTAAAGTTTGATCCTGGTGGAATTCCACTAGTTTCAATATTAGCATGTGATTCTTGAAAAGAAACCGTAAGTCTTTATTACCATTGAGTGACGCCAGCAGCACCGTCAAAGTAGTTTGTCTTGTTGAAAAACATGCCGTGAGAGTGGAGTGCCGTGGGCACATCCAACGAATTGCGCTTGGAAAACATACTTAGCAACACTTTGGAGAATATCAAATGCTACACGGTTAACATACCACATTGATGACCAAAGTATCGTTGTAGTTTGCAATGAGTTTTGGTGGAGGCCATTTCCCATTGACACCAATGACCCTACGAGCAAAGTGACCGTCTGCATTCACGTTCTGAATGTATCCAATATCCAGATCATAGCGAACAATGGCTGCTGATGCCGTTGAAATCAGTAGTAGCAGCAGACATGATAGTGAAGATAATGAAGATGGCAGATGCATCGTGCCGAGTGTGTGTGTGTGCAAGTGTGAAAGAGCGAGTGTGAAAATGCGTGAGATCTCTATTTAAAAACCTTTAAAAAATAAAAAAAATAAAAAGCGGGAATGTCCATCCAAACAAAAACAAGAGAGAGATGTAGTAAAAAGTAAAAAGCTTAAACTTTCACTCCGTTCCGAACACTCGTAGTAATAAAGGAATAGAAATGATTGGATAACCCATTCCGATCAACTATAACATGACTGTGCCATAAGAGATGAAAGTGACACATTACGAGTCATTTCTGTGTATGGGAAAAGGGAGAGTGTATGTAGGGAATAAGAACCCTATGGGGGGATAAGAACCCTATGGGGAAGAGAGAGAGAGAGAGAGAGATCTCACACACACACACAACAGAGAGAGAGAGATTTCCCTTTTAGTTTCTTCTTCTCTCCTCTGCAATGACTCACTCTCTCTTTCCATAAAAGGAAATTTACTCTTAAGGAATTCACATCCAATCACATTTCATTCTCTCTCTCCCCGTCTGTTCCGCTTTGACTTTGAGTTTTAACTCTCTCCCGATCTCTCTTTATTTTTTTTTATTATTTCTTGTTTTATTATTTATAGATAACTCTGTTGGATTTCCCCTCCTCTTCCTTCTCCTACCTACCTTCCTTCTTGACTCTTTCAACAACGATGGGATCAGTGTTTTCAGTTCCCACCTTTTTTGTTCTCTTTCGAGAGACAACAGAGGCTGCTCTCATCATTTCAGTCTTGCTGACATTCTGCAAGCAAATGTTTGGAGATGATCCTCTCATGCTCAAGCGATTAAACAAGCAGGTAAGAGTTTTATGTACATGTGTTTTTGCTACTGCTTGCTGACCTTGTTTGCACCACCAGATCTGGATGGGAACGGGTCTGGGCTTGCTCGTTAGTATTGCGATCGCGGCCGGCATCATTGGTGCATGGTACGCCATCTCGGAAAACCTTTGGGAGTCGCGCGAACTCGTCTGGGAAGGCACACTGGCCATCATTGCCTGTGTCATCATCACCATTGTCGGCATCACCATGCTCAAATCCTCTCGCAAGGGGCATCAGGAGAAATGGAGGAGAAAACTACTAAAGGAAATGGCTAGGCATAATCAGGCTCCTCAGGACACGGATTCGGAAGGTCTCTCGACCAATGCAACATCCCAAGCAACCCTTCAACCACTACCACAAGAACAACAACAACGACCAGCTTCCACTCACTGGTTTGCTCGCATTGCCCCCAAAGCCTACGAAAAGCTCTCGTCAGAAAAGTACGCCCTCTTTCTCATTCCCTTTATTACCATCCTCCGTGAAGGCATTGAGGCAATCATTTTCATGGGCGGCGTCGGTCTCACCGAACCCGGCAAATCCATTCCTCTCCCCGCCATCACGGGCATCCTTGTTGGGGCTCTTGTCGGGTTCATTACCTACCGCACGGGTTCCCGCGCCTCCCTCCAATGGTTCTTTATCGTCTCGACGTGTCTCTTGTTTCTCATTGCCGCTGGATTACTGGCACGTGGTATCCTCTCGTTTGAAACCAATGCTTGGATGAAAAAAGTCTTGTACAATACCGGTGGAGGCGACGAGGGTGGACCCATTCCTATTGATTTGCGCGACAATGTATGGTATTTGAACTGTTGCGGCGCCAAAGAAAATGGCTGGACCATTTTCAATGCGATTGCAGGGTGGTCCAATATCGCCACAAAGGGGAGCATTACCGGGTATTGCTTGTATTGGATCGTGGTCAGTGGGTGGTTGATTAGTGTCAAGACGAGGGAGCAAAAGCTGGCCAAGCGGGGCGATGTCGATGAAATCAAAGTGACGACGACAGGGTCCCAAAAGGGGAGCCGAGTCGACATTGAGTGAGGGGAGCCGAGTGGAGTGAGGAAATCTACGAGAACGCTTCTAGTGCTAGCACTGCAGGCGAGGACAAAGTGCACACACCGCTTGTAAACGGGAGGCGTTGCATGCAACTGCAAAAACTACACACACACACGAATTTCCTTTTTTTTTTTTTTTGTTCTTTTAATAATATCTATATATATATGCGTTTTTGTATATATTCAACAACAAGCAACCGCCTTTTGCACATGCTCACTCATTAAACAGTTTGTTTTTGGGTATTCCGCACCATTGAGGGCATGGAAATTCATCCAATAAAATGTGTATACACATCGTGGATGCACGTAAGAATTGGTGATGGTAAACTGTGTTTTGATGCAAGAGTGTATTTTGCAATGCAGTATGGCGGTAGTTCTTGAAAGGTGGCAGGGTGGGTCAATTGGTTCCTTTTTTGAAAGTCGAATACCTGGATATTTTTGTGGATTCCATGATAAAACAGGCGCAACTTGCAAAAAATATCGAATACCCGTATCGAACATTTTTTGGAATTCCGTTTTCACCATCTACTCCCCCACCAAGAGTGTAACCATCCCCATCTATCAACATATGTGCATATGTTTTGCCGACACTACTCACTCTTGCCTCACCTCATCTTCCTCCCACTCTCCCACAAACTCTTCTTCATCCCTTAATAACCCTCGTAGCTCTTCTACACGGCCTTCTAGATCCCTCCATATTCTTAATCGCTGGGTAATGAGGTTGGAGAGAACTTGTACGTAGGTATCTATATCTCCATTTGGCTGTGTTACGGTCGAGATTAGGTGGTTGGTGCATGTCCCATTGTTGAGTTGAATTATTGTGTATATTTGTTTCTATTTACTCGTTCTGATTCCCCGCGTCATCTTGTTCCCACTCTCCCACAAACTCTTCTTCATCCCTTAATAACCCTCGTAACTCTTCTACACGGCCTTCTAGATCCCTCCATATTCTTAATCGCTGGGTAATCAGATTGGAGAGACCTTGTACGTAGGTGTCTATATCTCCATTTGGCTGTGTTACGGTCGAGATTAGAGTGTGGTCGATCCGAGTTAGGGAGGCATTGAGTGCCATTGCCGAGAGATGGCATTGGAGGAGGGATTCGTGGGTTGTTAGAATGTGGGTTATGGATGTGATGTGGTGGGAGGTGGGTGGAGGTGTTGCGCGGAGGAGGTGGGCGAGGTCGGGGTTTGTGTGTATTGTGGGCGAGGGGGAGGGAGAGGGGAGGGAGGGTTGAAGGGGGGTTGTGAGGACAGGGGGTGGGATGGTGGGAAAGGAGGGTAAAGTAGGGAGATGGTCATCAACGTGATCCCATTCCTCTTCATCATCGTTATCGTCTTGCTCGTCTCCTTCTTGTTTATCTTCTGGTTCCTCTTCTCTATCTACACCAACAGATCGCCCTCGATCTTCGCCACCACCACCCCCTTTCCTCCGCAACTCTTTAACCCGATCAGCATACCTCAACGTATTCAACGAATGATCCACCGAATTCGACCCAGGACTCACAGTAGCAATCATGACAGTCTGCGATCTAGCCCCAACAAACGAATCCCTCAAAATCTGCGTCAATTTCGAAGCCCGAAACGGTATATGCTGTTTCATCGACTGTGATGAACGAGACCGATAAAGAGCTCGTATACATTCTTTTAAAGCCAATAAGGATTTATTAATCTCGGCACCTTCGAATCGTTCCCGTTTGCCTACATTGCCCCGTTCCACACCGCGTTCACTCCCTGCTAAATCCACCACTGAAAACTTTCCAATCACTTTATGGTTTTTGCGTAACCGGATTTGAAATACGGCGTGTGAGCGGGATGAATCTGGGTTCGCTTCTGTTGATCCCGTTGTTCGAGTGTTTGTCCCCATTTTAACAAGGTCCAGTAAATGTTTTAGAGTTGTTACTGGTATTTCTTTTAAGCCTTGTATACGGACCATTCCGTGGGCGTCTTCTAGGAGGTGGACGCGGGTTCGAGAGGAGAGGAGGTCATATGCTTGTCCACTGTAGATTTCGAAAAAACAAATGTGGAGAGAAAGGCTATGAGAGTCGGGGTGGGTTGTGTAGTGTTGGAAAATGTCTCGACAGGCGTATTCGTATAATCCGATTGTGTCCTCCCCGTTTCCAAAGACTGTATGTGTTTTTCCACTACCTTTAAAAGATTCGAATCATATTGTTAATTCACATAACCTGCCTCAGAAGCAAGCTAGTAAAGGAGTTTTGGCTTACCAGTCTGCCCATACGCAAATACCGTCCCTCTACCCCCATCAAACATACTCTTGACCATCCCCAAAACCGTCCGCTCATACACACCCCGATTCCCAACAAACTCATCAAATACACCATCAAATGCAAAGGAATGGGTTTCAATCGTTTTTGTCAGGTCCATTCGGGTTTTGGGTTCGTGTAGGTGCAGTGTTGTCTTTGTGGGTGTTAATGTGTCGAATAGGGTTGATATTCCTTGTTCTAACACCCGCAAACAAAATGAGCAAGTGGCGGTATTGGACCTTTTAGGTTAAATGATTCTCACCTCGATAATTTAATGGTCGTTTACGAACAAACACTCTTATCCTCGCATCCCCCTTCTCACAAACCACTTCATCTTTATCCACATTATCCCGAAATACCTGAATGGCCCGTTTGAATCCCATTATGTCTCGTTCGGAACTATCCAGACCGGCTTGAGCGGCTCGAAGTTCGTTTTGGTGGGTGCGTCGGTGTGTGCGGGCTTGTGCGAGGTTTTGGATTGTTAAGAGGGTTTTGGATTTTGGTGGGAGGGCTTTTGGTGGTGTGCTCTGTGGTTGGGTTTGGGTGTGAGGTGGCGTGTGTGGGGGTTCTTGGGTTGGTTCGGGTGGGGTGGGATCAATGGGTTTAAGAGGCATGGAATGCATACTTGCTGCATTTGCATTCCGGTCTTGCATCTGTTGTCGAATACGTGCTTGTCTCGCCAACGACGCCTAAACATCCTTTTTAGCTCTTTTTTTTGGTTGGCTTGGGGTTTGGACGAACCTCTCACGAATGAAAACGCACCTGTACAAACGCAGCTGGGGGCTTAAATGCACCCATTTCATCACTATGAAGTTCTTCTTCCATTTTGTATGTTTTGTGTGGGGTAATATCTCGTCTAGTACGAACAGTGTTGTGTGTGCACATTTCGGTGGGTGTGATTCAGTACCCTTTATTGATGATGTGAGTTTGGTATAACGTAAACAGTGCTTAGCTATGCGTTTACCACATATTGCACATACGAGTGGATTTTAAATACTACTTACCATAGGAGCGTAGATGCATTTAAAGGCACATTCGTACAAAAGTAGAGTACATCCATCCAAGAACCCTCTCCAAATACAAAAATCCTAAATTTGGAACAACTTGAACATTCTGGGGAAGAATGCATACGTCAAAAACCAGATCTGGATCAAGTTTTTGCAGAGTGGAAGGGGATTTTGTCGAATGGATGATGAACCGATCCGAAATTAATGGGATTCGTTTTGAGTGTAAAACTAAATCGCATTCGTACCCGTACACACTGTTACGAGTTATGGTGGAATTTGGGGGTTTACTTACTGTTGTATTGGATGTTCATAGTCTACCAGCGTGACATACCAACACCGCAGATTTCAGAAGCCATCCCACAAAGTTGTACAGTTATAGCAGTCCCCTGCCTATATATACGACGAGTTGGGGTTTGCTGAAGCTTTCAATCACTAACAAAAGTTCAAGCAAAAATCTTTTGGGACCGGGCGTGAAACTATATTCCAACTCTTTTACCGAACCCCGAATTTGAGGCCGCCGGGTCCAAACAAACCTCAAACCTCAATCGAACTATATGGGTTGATGCAACTCTGCAAAGTCATTGCTCTAGGTCGCTCGAGGACGTGTTACAGCTAAGGTTTAATGCCTGTGTAAGTCTTGTAACAATCTTTTTCGTTCTTTGCTAAATTGTACTTGTATGGCTTATATGGTAGATTTGGTCTTGGACGAAAAAGACAGATCCGTTGAGGACTGTGTGCAGTTGAAGTTTAATGCATATCTAAGTCTTTCAACAATCTTTTCGTTCTTTGCTCAACTATACTTAAATAGCTTCTATGGTATATTTGCTTCAACGCTAGATAATTTGCATATTTAGTGCAGATAGACTTACTGTATAGTAACAGAATATATTTTGGTGTACTTTGTGACATCGACTACATGTCCCGAACCGTATTGTATATAAATGGACGACGGGGGTTTCCCACGGTTTAGCTAAAGATTGATTACCAAGATGAAGAACAATGCCTTGCGAGAAACTGGGCCATTTTTTTTTTACGGACACTGGCCAACAAACGTTGGATAGTTTTCTGAATTGGTACAAATGAAAATGGGTAGGAACTATATGCGACTGTTCGTTTTTTTTTATCCTGCTAACGAGTAGCGTGGCACTACAATCACCGCAAGTTGCCCAGATGACAGCACGTTTTAGCATTCTGCCAAAAATTATTTTTGACTAGGACGCAAATACTATTTGGGTGTCGGCTGGTAGCAAAAACCGTCAATGACGTAAAACCCAAAAACGAGGAGAAGCAAACCATCTTGACTCGACCTATTTTTGTTCAGCTCACGAATACACTCAACGTTTGTCAAACCAGTGTCGAACTTGTAATGGGTTGGTATAATGAAATCAAACATGGCAGCTGAGCGAAACGCAAGACCAAGTAGTTTCTTGACTCGGATGAGACAGTGCTATTTGCCCCGAAACCTACGCGGTTGGGCTTCCCTTAGTAAACTACAGAAATCGGCTCTTACATCATGATTGCTCTGGATGCAGGTCATCAGCATTAACCAGCCCTAATTACATTTGGATCGACTATCACGAAAAATCGTAAAAATTAGGAAACTACACATATAATGAAAAATAACAAAGGATTATTATTCTTCAAATTAGTTTGATTGCATTTTGTTGCCGGTAAATTAAAACTGCGTAGTACATTATATAATTTGAATTGTAAAGTTTATCCTTTACCAAAAGCGCATGGTAGTGCGGAGCCGATGGGTATTGGCACTAGCACCCGCACCAGGAATTGAACCGGCGACAACCAGTTCGGATAAGCTAATCTAACCAATCTACGCTACGGCTGGAACACCCCTGCTGAACACCTCTGGTCTACCGTGCCCATCCAACATTGATTGCACGATTGTCAGCATATTACAGGTTGCCAGCATATCTCGGTTCCAGTAGCGCATCGTCCAGGCTTGCTGCAAACAGTTAGGGTTGGTGTAACGGATTTTTTGTTGGTAGACTACGGTAAAGACAACTTGGGTCTCCTAGCAGGTTGTGTGGGTGTCCGTACTAGGAATCGTAGTCTCCAAATCCTTTCTTTGGGCGTCGGTAGCGACTTGAGGGCGAGAGGCAAGGAGAGTCGGTTAGTTGTGAACCGAGCAGGATTTAGAGGCTTCAGTGTGGGTGATCAGGCCGTTGAAGCACTCTGTTAGGTTCCTGTTAACCTAGGATTGGGGTTGAGAAGCTAGTTGTGGGGATTCTTTGTCACTACGGCTTCTGGCCGCCGACTTATTTTATTGAATTCCTCTTTTTATACAAGAATATGCTATGGTAACATCTACACTAGTTTCCGTAGCCTTCATTAGGGTGGCGGCGTCCGATCTTCCCATCTCAGACCATCGCCATGATCGATCATGGCTGCGTAACGTATCCTTCACACTGCGCTGGTGTAGCCCAGAACCGAGCTTGATCTTAGGGGTTTTGAAGCTTAGGTTACAATTGCGGAAACCTCAATCGTGGTCACCTGATGCCTTTGAGCGAACCGGTTTATCAGAGTCGTTCACTACATCCCCCCTTCGAAAAAGAAGGTTCGGCGACTCGTCTGTGAGTGCCCGAACCTCGCTTCTACCATGACGCAACTGGATAGTCGTCGTCAGCTTCAAGGCTGTCTTCGTTGATCGTCCAGATTATGGTAGTGCACCCCATGACGTTCGCGCAGAACCAAATTTGGTCAGTGGCTTCTGGAGCCGGGGCTCCAGGTGTCCTGGAACCGTTGGCTCGGGTTACGTAGAGGGCTGTGAACGTCTCTGTGGCCCTTTTCAAGTTAACCGCTCGAAAGTGGTAATAGGCATGCTCCCAATGTTTGGGATGGAGCTGCTCTTCTGTGGTTTCAGCTGCATTGGCTAGCTTTAACAACACTGCTCTCGTGGCTTCGATGGCTATGTCCACAAAATCGTGGGCCTCGCAATCGGGCCAGAGGGTGAAGCGGGCCATTTTGGGGTTTCCGGCCGCATGTTGAGGGACCCCAGCGTCAAGCCAGGCAGCGCAGGGTACGTCCTGTAATCTCTTGCCTATCTTTTTTGCATCAGTGATGATACCGACAGCAGCTTGACCGCCGTCGGAAGCCCTACTGTAGGGCTCCGCGATATGCATCGTGAGGGGCTGGCTCATGGCGTAAGGTTTCGAAGCCCCGTCAACCACCCAATCTTCACCACGATAGTGTTCAAGGGTTTTGTTTGGGTCTTTGTACAACTCATGAATCCAAACTTTGACCCAGGTGGCCATGGCTGCTCCGAGCCGCTCGATAGAGTTCTTGGCAGCGAAGGCATCGCTTACTTCTGACCAGGGATAGCCTTCCTCAAGGGTAGAGAGGATGCTGACTCCTTGTTGTCCTCGGATATTGGTGGTCATGGTGTTGGAAACGAAAGCTTTTGTTTCGGTGTCGATAGAAAGGGTTTGCGAAGCAGAGTGAGTGTGTAAGGGAAGTAGTTTGTTGGTAGTTGAAGAAGAAAAAAGAGGGGGGGCGAGCAGGGGCGCCCTTTTAAGGTTGTCGCCGGCTGATTTTGACAGCTCGGATGTGCGTAAGCGTGATCGGGAGGCTTGGTGTGGCGTTCTTGACTGGTGAGGTAAGCCACGCGAAACTGGTTTTCTTTCTGGTGAGAGGGCGTGATTATCACGTGAGCTATCATCCGGATAAACCGCGAAGCATTGGTGGTCGGAAGTGTAAGCCGTATCTTCCGGGGCGTCGCCTGCAAGGCTGACTACCAAAGAGTCCTCTACTAGCGCGCTAGTGGGGGCTCTGGATCTCCAGTACTCTTCTAAGGCTTCGGAAGCCTCTGTTAGGGCTTCCTCTGGTTCCCAGGTATCCTCATGGGGTGGGTATCCAGACCAACGTATTCGAAATTGACGTTTTCCGCGCCTGTGTAACGATGAGGACGTCTTCGAGAGATCGCGAGTAAGCCCAAATCGGACGCGGGAAGCACGAATCGCGTGACCAACTCCACCGATTGGGTTACCGCGACCGAAAGAACCGGTTCGGAGAATGGCAATTGGCGCATTAGATTTCAGCGTGCCTCGTACAACCTGTGGAGGCCCGAGCCAGTGCGGAAAAGGAAGAGATCGGTACCGCCACCAATAAATCAGTTGCGGTGCAGCGACACCCATTAGTTTAGTTTAGTTTAACAGTTTATCCAAGAATCTTGTATAAAAAGGATGTATTCAATAAAATAAGTCGGGGGCAGAAGCCGTAGCGACAAAAAATCCCCACAACTAGCTTCTCAACCCCAATCCTAGGTTAACAGGAACCTAACAGAGCGCTTCAATGGCCTGATCACCCGCACTGAAGCCTCTAAATCCTGCTCGGTTCACAACTAACTGACTCTCCTTGCCTCTCGCCCTCAAGTCGCTACCGATGCCCAAAGAAAGGATTTGGAGACTACGATTCCTAGTACGGACACCCACACAACCTGCTAGGAGACCCAAGTTGTCTTTACCGTAGTCTACCAACAAAAAATCCGCTACATGGTGGAGAAGCGCGACGAACTGCCTTCCCCTCTCAAATTCAGCTGAAAACCTTATTTGGTCGTACCGAAACTCTTGCGCAAACCGAGATCTGCTCAGGTAGCTACTCGGAAACCTTTTCTCTCGTTTCGGAAACAGACTTCATGAAACCGAGAATGATGCCGGTTGAACGCTCTCCAACGCGAGGCCGCTCACATGTGATCCAGACTCGTAGTCAGGGTCCTGCGGAGGACGTCAAAGTCCCTCCCGCAACACGCCCAAGGCGTTCAGGGACCACTTCCGTTGAACCGGAAGCCCCTAACTTGGCCACGATGGCCTCTGAAGTGGCAGCGTTAAAAGAAGACATTGCCCACTCGACTGCTGCAATGCAGTTGGCAACTCAAAATCTTACGGAACAGCTTCATAGGCTTTCCGAACGTCAGACAGCGGCGGATGAGCGCCTCGCACGAGCCTTAGAAGCCCTAGCGCATCACCCGCTGCCTGAACAACCTCTCATAGCATGAGCTACAAGAGAACGGTCCGCAACCCCGTGGGAAACGTCGGACACACCAAGGGAGCATACCGAACCAAGTTTTTCAGGTCCGGTGCCTCCAATCCAAGTGCCAGCGGCCCCGTGGGCCAGCGACACCAAGGTCGATTCCTTGAAAGCAAAGGACGTACCCGAGTTTACGGGCAAAAGAAACCAAGACGTTGAAGAATGGCTCAACAAAGTCCAACTTCTTCAAAACGTTAGCGCAACGTCGGATGCCAGGATGGTACAGCTCCTACCAGCCATGATAGCCGAGAAAACCCCTGCCAACGCTTGGTTTTACACTCTGGAAGCCCAGGAAACTTGCTCGTGGACCTGGAAAAGGTGGAAAGAAGAACTGCTTCGAGAGTTCCGAGATCCCCTAACCAAGTCCAAGCGCAAAACCGAATATGTGCGCTGCCACGCGAACCCCAAAGAATTTCGCAGCTTTCTCGTGTTCATTGACCACAAAACTCATCTCTGGCGCCTCGCATACGGCGACCGGGCAAACATAGAATGTCCCGCTGACCAGCATTTCGACCTAATAGTCGAACAATTGCCCAGCGACATCCAAATCATGGTCAAATCCTGTAACGTCATGAACCTGACCAAATTAAAAGACTTCCTGCGCCTTTATTTTGGCTCTGATGACACCAGAAAACGAGACCCTTGCTACAGCGGTGCTGCTGAAGCTCAGAAGAAGTCACAAAAGACCGGAATCGACAAAGGCCCTAAGCAGACGGCTCAACATAAAACCAGAAACCCCGAAAAGGGTCGCGACGGCCCTCAGAAGATGGTTCCGGACCCCAACACGGAACCACCGGCACCCTGCAAATTCTGTCAGAAAAAGCATTGGAATGTTTTCTGCTGGCAGAACCCGAACCGAAAAGATCCTGAAGATGGAAAGAAGGGACCATACGGAGCACCCATGCCCGCAGGTTGGAAACCCAAACAGGAGTCCAAGAAGTCGTACATAGTGGAGCTGGACTCGATGTCCGCTACCACCGAGACTCTTTTTTCGGCTTCGGAACTGGAAAGAACGGAAGCCGCTAATCAAGGATTCCACACCATCGGATTCTTTCATTCACCCGAGCACTCGGAATCAACAATTTTGATGACCGCACCTCTTTCCGAGGTCACGGTGACCAAGGAAGAGGACCCCCGCACGCCCACGCAGGGCTGGGACCAAGTCTGGGACAACATAGCCATCATCTGGGGCACCCCGCAAGTGGCTCTGATGATGGGCAACAACCCCCGCGCGCTCAGCTTCTTCGCCAAAGAACCGAAGCGAGGCGCCGGGCACCTCGGGAACGACCCCTACGCAGTCGCGTGGAGTTCCCACCACCTCTACATCGCTGCCGCAGCCGAAGCTGACAAGGATCGAATCCTGCGAAAAGTCTGAGAAGACGGTACCCCTCGTTTGATCCTCCTTGCCTGGATAAGGCTCGACGAGCGTGAGAAATTCTTGATGTGGAGCTCCGAAGATCCTGTTATCTTTGATTCTTACGCCAACCTGCAACTGGTGGCATTTCTCCTGACAGGCAATATCGTTCGCTCAGACTATTATTATCGTCGCGGAAACCCCAAATTTCTGCACGTTAAAGACCATCCACGTCTCCAAAGACACGAAGAGAGCGAATGGACGTGTATAGTCATGCTGGCTATCGAACAAGTTGCTCGCCAGAATAAAACAACAAAACCACAAAACGACAAATCTAGAGAGCACTTTGAGAGTGCAATCAAGGCTACGGAAGCAACAATTAATGACATCGCGCCCCATTTCGAGGTCGCGGTGCCTTCCATCAACGCCTTCTACTCGGTAGATTTAGGCGATGTACTCAAAAGCCAGACCAAGACCCAAACGCAGCCTTGCTGGACGCTAGCCGTCATCGCTCAGCTCTGGGCACCTGTGGTGCTAGACACAGGAGCCTGCAAGTCTCTGGTTTCCGACACGTACCAGGGCCTTCTGTTCTCCGAAACCGATTTGCAGGATGCGGAAACGATGGCTTTCAAAGGCATTGGTGGACGTATCTCATCTACCAAGACAGTATGCCTCGAAACTTCCCTCAGAGGCCGCGGAGGAGAATACCTGACTTTCCGCGCCTATTTCCGAGTCATTGCATACGGGAAACCTCTCATCATCCTAGCCAACGACATTCTGGGACATTTGAAACTCCAAACCTTGGTTCAGGAACCCCCGTTACCCAGTTTCGCGGTGACGCTCAAGAATCCGGACATCCTTATCCCTTGCTCCATAACGGATGAGCTGGACACCGATCACATGCGCGGCACGCCATACAAGACCAAGCAGGGTGAATTCATGAAGGATGTGTCAATGCCACGGCTGACCAAAGCCAAAGCTCAGAAGTCTAGATTAACCATGTTAATCACGGGACAGACGCGCGTGGCAGCCCAAACTTTTCTCATCGAAAACCCTCTTGAGGCCACCGCTTGCTGCAAGTGGTCACAGAACGGCGCAGAACGGAAGCTCTTGCTACATGTTCTCCCTACATAGCATTTTTATGAGAAAAAGGGGGGGACACAAAATACACTCCATGATTTTTGGGAAAAAAGCTGTATAAATTTGGTTCAATTGATGAAAAAGATAGAACTAAATAGAAATATCGACATGCCTGAGCCGGCATTGGCACTCCGTGCCGGCATGTTTAAATGGCCTCGTTGGTTTCCTGCTGAAAAACTGGTTGCATATTTCATGTAGGCAACTCAGGCGTCAGAACTCATCCCATCTCAACATTACCTTCGAGGCATACCAGCCGGGATTGGCCGCTCCGCGCCCGGCATCTTCCGCCGCGGGATTTCTATGTGCGAAAATGTACCCTTCGGACGAACTTTTAACTTTTTCTGCTGCGCACGAGTACGAGCGGGCTGGATTCGGACAGGTATCAAGTCTTCAAGTTCTCTTGCTGCCTGCTTTTGCAAACGATCCCTTTTTTGTAATGCGGCCGCAACTTTGATTGTAACTGGTTCCTCGGTTTTGATGAGTTCATTATAGTTGAAAATTCGATCGGGAATCCCCTCTACCACATATCTATATGACCGCAGTTTGTCGAATGGTTTAATGACTTTCCCAATCCGATAAACATTGCTAGAGAAATTTTCTCGATGTGCCTTTTTGAACACATTGCCTTCATGTTTGACACGAACATGATCACCGATGGAGAATATTTCAGGTTCTTTCTGATGCATCTTCTCCCAGTATCTTTCCAAGTTTATCAATGCCTTATACGGTTTCTCGATTGCTTCATGGGGAGACATCCCAATACCGCGATGTTCTCGCCTGTTAATCATTGAT